TTCTACTTTGGTCCTTCCTGTACTCTGACTAGCCATGAGCTCGTCAGTCTCTAACTTTGAGTTGATTAGTTATTGTTCATGTGTTGTATTTCAGTTTTACATGCGATGCTGCGGAGCCTCAGATTCAGAATCATCAGAACTTCTGACTGAGTCCAACAGTGAAGAAGAAAGTTTGAAGTGAAGAAGAAAGTTTGAAGTGAAGAAGAAAGTTTGAAGTGAAGGAGAAAATGAAAGTAAAAGAGTGAGGAGGGGAATCCAGAGTTCATGACTGCGCACAAATCAAAGGTTATTTTTAATAATAACTGAAAGATTTATGTTTCTCAGGACAGATTTTAAACCAGTCCTTTTGTTTCACACACTGTGTGTGTGTGTGTGTGTGTGTGTGTGTGTGTGTGTGTGTGTGTGTGTGTGTGTGTGTGTGTGTGTGTGAGACACTAAGTTTTGGTTGAATTACCTGCATAAACTTTAGACACAGATAATCACAGTTTTTGTCCGTAGCTAATGCTAACATTAAACTAATGCATAAAGTTTCCTTTGATCAGTCACAAATAAAATACCAACTCCTAATTATAATTAGACGAACTCCTAACTCTGATACTTATCCAACAGCTAAGTGAGTAGAAATCAAGAAGTCCTATTGGACGAGGAACAGTTTGGATCTTTATTACAACAGAAATATCTTCTACTTACAGATTTTGCAGTGGACAGAGCAGCAGAGAGCAGCCAGAGCTGCGAACACCAGAGCGACCTTCATCATGAAACTCTTTCAGTCCAACAGACGATTCCTCTCCAGCTCTAAAACTAAAGTGAAACTTCCCAAGATCACACTAATGACGAGCACAAGGACCGCCCACCACAGAACTCTGTCCAATCAGTTGGCAGATCACCTAATGACGAGCACAAGGACCGCCCACCACAGAACTCTGTCCAATCAGTTGGCAGATTGAGCTGTTACCAGGTAGAAAATGACCGAATACGTTTGCTCTCTTGTAGATTCATCTTTTGTCTCTAATTGTGAACTTGTAAATGCAGGTAAAGGTTTTAGAACAATGGCATTTCTGTCATGGTCTTTTTTTTTTTCCAATTTTTAAAGAAACCAAAATTAAAACATTTAAAAAGTCTTTTAAACTTGGAATGAAAGCAATAATTGTGTGTTTATTTGGAAATGTGCAATTTAAAATGGCCTTCTAATTTTTGATCAACTTTAAGACCATTCTCTTATTAGTTAGTGGCCACTTGCTTTAAAATAATACAGCTCTTTGTAAACGCAAGAAATCAGGAGAGAACGTAAATACTACACAATTCAAAACCACAAAAGACCAAATGAAGGCTCACGGGCCTGTGGCAGACCTTGGATTATCTCAATCTGGACTTCCATGCTCCTAAACTACATGCAACTAAAAACATATTCAAATGTATACGTTAATTAATTAATTAATTAATTTAAATGTATGAATGCTGAGAACTAAAAGGCTGAGCAATAACTAAATGTAGCAGAGCGGTAACTAAAAGCTAAAATGAGCAGGATGATCATAATAAAATAGTAGATGAAAGCTAAAATATGCCTAAGAAGACAGAGATATGGGCGTGGGCGGCTGAGTGGTTAGAGCAGTCGTCCTCCAATGCAAGAGTTGGGGGTTCGAATCCAGCAGCAGTCACATGCTGAAGTGTCCCTGGGCAAGACACTGAACCCCTCGTTGCCTCTGATGCCTGTCCCTTCGGTGTCTGAATGTCTCCGATTAGTCTCTTTAGAATCATTTGTTCAGTTATTTTTGTACAGATCTAGTATAGAGCTGTATGAAGGGGTAAATGAGGCACAGATTGTTGTAAAGAGTCTTGATCAGATAAAAGGTGCTATAGAAGTACAGTCCATTTACCATCTGCAAATGCTCATTTTAGAAAATGTTTTATAGAAAATCTGCATATTTCTATGGGAAAAGTTTTGTGAATATTGTAGAAGATGATTGTGGAAAAATTACATCCTATGTATCCGTTTTAAAATGAACCTGAAGTTTATGGTCTTGGTCTGATCTTTTACCTCATCAGATCTCAGGTCCTCTCCTCAACTGCAGATATCTGAAAAACTGTGACTTATGAATATTCATTAAGTAATATTAATTCTTAATATCTGTTCCTGCTTGCTCTCGAGGAGGACGGACACTTTCTCTCCTGCCTCCCTCCTGCTTTGATCTTTGTCTTGTGATTCCTATCGGAGCCTCTCACTACATATCCTCCAAATTGTAAATTATTGATCTGGTCAGCTGGTCTTTCAATGCAACTGATAACATTTTCTCGATGAGAAGACAGAGTGAAGGAAAGCCCTCTTGCCCAAACGAGACACTTGCAGCTGGATACACAATGGATTCCTGGGAGCAGTGGAAGATCGTGTCCATCAGTATTGAGTCGAGGATGTAGAAGACACGTACATACGGTAATTCGATTTATGATAACAGGATTTCTGCTTTTTGGAGTTGGCGGTCTTTCTCCTCTAGCTCTTGCTCAAGATGGACGTTTCTGCTCTCCCTCCCCGTTTTCCTTTTCCTCCTGCTTCTGCTGTGTGTGTGTGTCTTGGAGCTCCTGGTACACATCTCCCAAAATAAAACACTATTATGGATCTGGTGAGCTGGATTTTCAACGCAATCGACAAAATCTTTTCAACAAAACGACAGGGTCCTTGGAGAAGCCTCTTGTCCAGCTGAGACTCACGCTGCAGTGTACATCAGAGATTCGTGGGGAGTTTGACAGCTGATGTGTCTCTCAGTCCAGTCTCAGGAAGACACTGAAGATGTTTAGATTTATGATAGGGGTTCTGCTCAGGGCTGTAGTGGTCCTCATTTTCAGCCCTGGAGTTTCATGCCTCAGAGTGGCCCACTTTGGATTATAAACCTCTTAGATGTCATTACTGTTTTTCTTATATATTTTATTGTTGGATGTAACTGGGACCCTGTGAACATAACTTCGCTCCACCACATGTACCACATGAGGTGCGAATGACAATAAAGAATCTCTGACTCTGACACACACACACACACACACACACACACACACACACACAGGTGTGCAGTGGAGAGCATCCTGTGCTCGAGCATCAACGTGTGGCATGGAGGCTGCACAGCTGCAGAAAGAAAAGCTTTGCAGAGAGTGGTGAAGGCTGCACAGAAGATGTTGGAGTCAGTCTCCCCACCATCACAGACATCTACACCTCCAGATGCAGGAAGAGGGCCACCTGCATCATGAAGGACCACACTCACCCAGCACACACACTTTTTGCCCCGCTCCCCTCAAGAAGGAGGTTGAGGAGCATTAAGTGTAGAACCACTAGACTGAGGAACAGCTTCTACCCTGACTTCCAGTAAGACGGCGCCTGTGTACATGGCGTGCAATCCACCTGATGGTGTTCATATTTTTGGTGTTTTTTTTAATTTCTCATCTGTGACATCAACACTCTGCTGGTGTATGAACGACAACAACTTTTGGATCTTCGACTTTGTGCCACCAACGTCGCTTATTTTGATCAATATGAGCGTAACTCTGGACCCCCCCGCTTCTGGCGGACGTGCCTGCGTACCTGCAGCGAGGCGCGCACCTGCCTCCCCGGAGACGTCGCTCCAGACGCCGTGGAAAACGCGCTGGCCGGCTGGTGAAGCTTAAAGCCCTGCTTGCTGCCTCTGAATCATCCTCTCCAGCTGATGGTGAGCGTTTCCACCTCCGCTCCTGTACAGATCCTGTGGCGCGCTGTCTGGTCCCGCTGTCGGGGTCCCATCATCACATTGGGCCCGTGCACGGCTGGGTTTCCTGCCGGAGGCGCGCATCTATCTCTGCAAATCTGAGGCCGCTGGACTGGACACTGCAATCATCTCCTCCTGTGGTGGATTCTACGAGGATGGCCCTGATAAATGCCAGATCGCTGGCTAATAAAACTTTTATTTTGAACATCCTGATGCATGCTCAATAATCCAGGTAGAAAAATCTAAAAAAGTTAAGTCTGGTCCTCTGGACATTCAAAAAAAAAACAAAACAAA